CAGTGAAAAAATCTGGACGCATTTCCAAATGTCATCAAGTAGGACAGTGGATCTTGAACTGTAGCACTTCAAGGAATCCTATAAACTGACAGCCTCGCTGTTTACAGCTTGAGGTAGGAGCTTGACCACTACCGGTCACATTCTTTAGAGGGGTTTACACCTCCATATGTGAGTATTCTGAGGTGCCATCAACAGATATTACTTCACAAATGATCAAAGTAGCTTTTTAAATTCCCTAATATTGTTTTTTAATTCGATCACTCAATTAAGTAGGCCTGCCCACTGCCATTTCCTGACTCGATAACTCAATTTATATCGGGGCTAAGATTTGTGGATTTGATGGTTTAAAGGTTAAATGGTAACATAACCATTCACCTGACAATAATGATTTTTGCTCGAGTAAGCATTCATTTAGTCAGATGCCATATATCCATAAAAAGTTTTACCGTTTTAACACATAAATCAACAAGATGCATGAGTGATGGCAGCATAGAAGACCCCGCCTTGTCACGTGCGCCAAATATTTCGACCCAAGGATCACCAGTTATGCGGCTGTCGCGAGTTCAAAAGAGTGTTTCAACTTTCAAATGTTATGCATGATCAATTGACCGAGTAGAAAATCTCCTCGTAATGCGACTTCTCTGCCATGCTAACACACAATACATTGCTACCCATTATCGTCTGTGCAATTGCCATACACACACACGCATGCGCGCATATCGTGCAATGATCTTCATTGTCTGGACTTTCAACTGGGTCAATTACTAGTGCCACAATGGGCCTCTTTGTTACGTTTGCCCCTAATGCTTCTCGTCGAGGAGGGTTAGAGTTGAACGTCGTTGGCAGAATGTGTGCATGCAGTGGCCTCGTGACGTGCAGGCACGCGAGCCACCTTGTAATGGTGAAGTATTGAGTGAGGTAGTTAGGCATGACGTGAGTGTGATGTAGCGAGAAAGGTTTGTAACCGCCTGTGAGACGAAGAGACTGCAGGAGGGATGAAGGAGCAGGAGGAGGAGAGGAAGTGAATGCTGGCGATGAGATAGAGATAGTCGGCGGAGCACACCACGGTAGCGTGGCCGAGCGGTTTAAGGCGCCGGTTTAAGGCACCGGTCCGAAAGGGCGTGGGTTCGAGTCCCACCGCTGCCATTGTCAACTTATTCTCTCGCATTATTCACTCTCGTCTTGCATGCACGCTGCCTTCTGTGACTTGGTGTGGGCATCCGTGAGCGTGTTTGGCGGTAGCGCAAGGCAATCGCACTTTTGCCTAACACACCACGTTCAAATCTCAACACTGCAACGTAAGTAGACGGTTCACATGGATGGTGGGAGTGTGGCCCACTCACATGTAAGGCACTCCGTCAACTTAGCACACAGTTGACGGGGAGCTGGGGGCAATTGGGGTGCTGCAATTGATCGGCGCTGTAAGTGGTCCTCGAGGTATGCGATAGACGATGCTAGCACCTCAACAACAGTAGACGACGTAAATAGGCATTTGGCAGAGGGTAGTAGGCTGTGAATTGGGTTGCAGGAGCATTCTAACAGGGTGGTGAGCTGATGCACATGGTTAGTGTGCGTGTGTGCGTGAATGTGAGCATGTAGGTAAGGAGTAGAGTGTGGAGATGAGTAGAAGTGGTATGTAGAGAGATGAGGTGAGGCCAGAGAGCCCGAGTGAGCGACGGCCTCCGTGGCGCAATAGGTGTTACGTTTGCCCGTAACAATAGAGAATACCCCTCAAATAACGGTACCAGATCCCTTGCTGAAAGCTAGAACCGACCTTCCCAGGCTAATACCAGAACAAGAACAGAGCTCG